GAGCCTGTTGGATCTCTCGCTGCCAGGCACGCACGACTCCATGACCTGGGACTTGTCCACAACCGTGTCCGATGGCTCGAACGACCTGCCACCGCCCATTGCGTGGGTGCTGCACGAGTTTCACGACTTTGCTCCCGGTCACTTCATCAAGAATCAGAGCAGGACGCAGGGCCTCAGCATGACGCAGCAGCTGGACAACGGCATTCGATTCATCGACTTTCGTATCATGTACACCAGCGGTCCAAACAACACCGCGTCAGCCACCCACGACTGGTGTGTGTGTGTGTGTGTGTGTGTGTGTGTGTGTGTGTGTGTGTGTGTGTGTGTGTGTGTGCATGCGTGCACATGTGTAGTTGGAGAACATGTACACGTGGATTTACAGTCGCCTACTGTGTGTGTTTCTGCACATGGTTGTGTTCACGCGCTCTATTCATCGTGCGCAAGCGTTGGCTTGGCCCTCGGCATATCTCTCGCCTGTTTGCACACCCCTCCCCCCGCTCACACAAACACACAGACACCCAATCAATTTGCCTGCTTACACCTCCACGTTCATCTCACACAACGATTCATCGTCACAGGTACTGCTTGCACATGCTGGAAACCAACAACAAGGCGATGACATACCTGCGAGAGGCCAAGACGTGGCTGGACGCCCACCCGGGCGAAATGCTCGTGCTATGGCTGTCGCGGCACGGTAACACGTGTGCCAAAGGCAACGACCAATATCCAAACGTGCCCGACCCCATCAAAGTCGCGTTTTGGAGTCAGGTGGAGGCCCTGTTTGGCGACCTTCTCTTCGACGAAGCGCACGGGCTGCTGAACGAGACGACCATCAATGACATGCGTGCGCGTCACCAACGCGTCGTCGTGTATGCGTCGGACTATGCACGCTTCACCAACAACAGCACGCGAGCCATTGACGCATGCCTCATCGACAACCAGCTCGGCGACTCCGTGCAGAGCGAGAACGCCACCTTCCACACGCTCATGGCCCGGTTCGCCGACGCAGACAACATCAAGCGCAACGACAAGCAGCAGAACCGGCTGTACCTGCAGTCCATGGCTGCTGGCGCCCCCTTGCAGCAGCTGGAGATGGCTGCACTGCTGCACTTCTTGCCCAAGATCGCCCACCGCGACAACGCAACGGCCAAGTGCGCCGCTGTGTTTGCCATCCCGGGGCTCACGGCATGGTGCCCGCCAACCCTTATGGACATCTCCTTGCTCACCAACTACTACAACCAGCGCATCCTGGACGCTGTCATCACGCACAACCTCGCGCTGCCCAACGCCATCTACATTGACGCCGTGGACACCGATGGCACGATTCGCACAGGGACCACCCTGCTTGATCGTGCACCGCTGCATGGTGCGAATGGCGTGAGTGGTGCGAATGGAACGACAGCGTTTGCGTATGTTGATACCATGGTGCTGTACAACTTGAAGCGCGCGTGTGCCGCCGCCCAAAGTCGCAGCAGCACCTCTGAGGTGTGTCATGAGTTGCCGCCCGTGCTGGAGGCGAGAAGGAAATCGCACCCGCTGCAGACATGGAACGACCCAACACACGGCAGGCTGCTTGGCTGGCCATAAGCACGCGTGCATGTGGCGTGTGTATGTTTACTTGCATGCATGTATGTGTGTTTGTGTTTAGCGTGTGTCTATTGTATATGTGCGTGTGTATGCATGTTGAGTGTCCTTTGTGTCTTGTGTGTTGCAGCCGATCAGGTTGCTGATATTGTTACACGATAACGTTGCACTGGCGCGAGCGTACGCGCTTCGCCACTGTTGTGACACTAGATTTCACTTTCATTTCTTGATGAACAACACAAGACGAGAGGAAAGGGGAGGGGGCACAATGACGCCACCCACACAAACGAAAAAACAGCAACGCACGAGAGACAGAGCGAGAACCATGCTTGGTGCACATGCACGTGCACATGAGGTTGTACACTCCATCAAAGCACTAAGATGCCTTCAACAACACAACACGGCCCGCACAATGCAGGCAAAAAGACGACGACAACACACACACACACACACACACACGCACATCCACGCAACTGTCAACAACTGCGAGCACATCAGCACTCTGATGCGCTGGGACCGCCCGTGAGCAGCGTCTCCAACGTGTCCTGCAGTCCGCGAATCACATCCGTAATCTTCGACCGGATCGCAACCTGCATCGCACGTGGGCAGGTGTGTGTGTGTTGTGTGTTGTGTGTTGTGTGTTGTGTGTGTGATGTAAACGTGAGTACGCAAGTCTGCTGGCAAGGCAACGCAGCGTATCTAACAGCAGTTCGCATGGTGCGCATCTGTGGCAACGTGAGTTGTATGTATCCCAGTCATTACCTTGACACTGGATGATCCTGGTGTGAAGGTGAGCTCAACGAGCGCAACGACGTTGTTGACAAACTTGAGCGACATGTAGCACAGCTCCTGCGAACGCACGCGGGCAACGCATAGGGCGGGAGGGGGCAAGCACATGCATGATTGAGCGGGGCTTGTTGATTGGCGCGCACAGAATACAGAAGGGAAAGGAAGGACAAGCAACAAGAACAAGAGCAGCAATCGCATCCCACAGACAGAGACAGATACACACACACACACACACCTGGTCGTTGACGTTTCGTCGGGCGACGGAGAAGACGTTTGAGGCCTCCAGGCGCTTGAGGACAACATCTGTCGCCTGTGTCACACCGCTGTGGACGCCACGCCACGTAGCAGCCAAGCAGAGGGGTCACAGTGGTGGTGGTGAGTATGTGGTGGGAGGATGCGCCGATGCAGCGTGGTGGGAGGAAGCATGCAACGTTGAGCAAAGAGCAGTGAAGGAAATTCATTGGGACCGGCAGACATGTACACATGTACGTACTGGACTGTGCTGATGCTCTCCTGTGAATCCTCAATGTCCTTCCATAGGCGCAGGTAGTCGCCACGCTCTGCATAATTTTTCAACCACTTGTGAGGAGATGGAGAGAGGCGCGCAGGTGGTTGTTGGCAGCACACACACACACACACACACACACACACACACACACACACACACACACACACACACACACAAGCATATGCCCACACGCCCACACGCCCCCAACACCCCCAACACCCCCCCCACACACACACACAGAGCAACAACTGACCGAGCTTGCCATCCTCTGTAAAGAGGACGTGGAACGGGACCATGACCGAGAAGTAGACAACGTCGACAGAGGTCTTCACTGCAATCTGCAGCTTGGGCAGCGGGTCCATCTTCTGCACAGCACCCACTGATGGTGATGGTGGGTGTGATGATGGAGTCAACTTCCGTGAGGACATGCATGCGCTGTTGATATCAGACACATGTTACACGTCACACGACACGGGTGTTTTCATCCCGAGTTCCTCCCTCACAGACACAGACACAGACACACACAGACACACACAGACACACACACTCGCACACACACTCGCACACAGACACACACACAAAGACAGTGGTGAGGTGCACGCACGGTTGTTGAGCGGGAGGGAAGTGTCGTGGGAGGCCGAGGGCGCGAGTGTGGGCACGCTGAGCGCAGCAGCAGGGGCAAGCCCAAAGCTGTTCTTGTTGAACTGGATGGCAAAGTCGCCCATGGCCTGCGCCGTGGTGTTGGTGAACGTCATGTCCATGTACATGTGCCCCTCACGGCGGGCGAGCGTGCCGTTGATCTCGAGCCCCTTGCCCGCAGACGCGTCCAGCCACAGCGTCTTCGGAAGCACAAAGCCAGTCGTCGACACCTGTTGGGGTTGGGCGGGTGGTGGTGGTGGTGACGGTGGCAAAAGTGCGTGGTGGCAAAGGATGAGATGTGATGTAAAGCTGACGTGGCGTGATGTGATGTGACGTGATGTGGGCGACCAAAACAGGGATCATTCACAAAACACACAACGAGCCATCGAGCATGCTGGGTGTGTAGTGGCCATTGATGACGTGTTTTGTCGCGAGTGGCGCTACCTTGACGTCGTCAAGAGCGCCTCCGAGAAGATCAACTGGCTGCTGCTGCGGCTGCTGCTGCTCCTCCTCTTCCTCAAACAGGACGGCAGGCGCAACGCGGCGACCAGGGACCCGGCCCTCAATGAACGTGCTGGCAGTGACGATGGTGATGGTGGTAGCGAGGAGGGGCGTGTCAAGGAGCGTGAAAGGAGGCAAAAGTTCATGGTCAAACACGAGATGCACATGAAACGCACACGGGATACGCACGAAACACACGCACACACAGACACAGACACACAGACACGGACACAGACACAGACACAGGCAGTGGAAGCAGGTGATCAGCGCGTGCGGGTACTTTGGCGGTTTGTGGAAGACGGATGCGAGGGAGGAGATGTGGCAGATGAGCTCGTCCAGGAGCGAGGGCTCGAGCAGATCCGTCTCCTCCGAGATGAGGGGCCGCTCGCACAGCACAACAGACTGAAGAGGACGGGGGCGTGGGGTCGACGATGGAGAGGGGGTTTGACGGGTGGTTGGTGAGGTAAGGCAAATGTGGCAAGGGAGCAACCGCAAGAACAAGATCAAGAACAAGAACAAGATCAAGAACAAGAACAGCATCAGCAACAAGAGCAGCATCAGGAACACGAGCAAGAGCAAGAACAAGAACAAGAACAAGAACAAGAACAAGAACAAGAACAAGAACAACAAGCATCGCACATGAACACCACCCAGTGTGCCTGCATGTCACCTTTGCTGCCGCCGGGTCTGTGAGGAGGAGGCGCCAGTAGATGTACCCGCGGTCGCGCAGGTCCGGGTTGTCAGACTCCTGCGTGGCGAGACCAAGCACGCGCTGCACCAGCTCCTGCGTGCCCGTCGGCCGCTTGAGGAACAGCTTGACAATGGCGGTGAGAAGTTGCAGCTGCACCAACGGATTTTCCTCGCTGAAGTTGTCGAGGAAGGACTCGAGCAGCTCGTCGGCGTTGTCGATGCGCTCGGCGTACTCGCCCACAATCCAGATCATCGCAGCCTGGTGGCCGTGAGGTTGAGGGCAAGACGGGCAAGGGTGGTGGTGAGGCAACGAGCGAGCGTCGGAAAGGGAAGTGACGGAATAACGGTGAAGTGCACAGCACAGGTATGCACACGCACACATAAACACTCACACACAGAGACTCAGGTACGCACACACACACAGACACGCAGAGACGCAGAGACACACGCACCTTTGCCTCTGGTTCGTCGAGGGTGTCAAGGTTTTCGCAGAGGGTGGCGATGATGCTCTCGTACTTGTTGGGGTACTTGCGGAAAATGTCCTTGATGACAACAATTGCCTCCTGCACGACGTAGTTGACCTTGGTCTTGATGAGCTCAAGCAGCGTGTCGACACAGCGCTGTGCAGAGCCCTCCACCTTGATGGCGCAGCGGCCAATTGCCCGCACAGACTTGCGCACAAAGTCCACGTCAACCTCAGTCGCGTACTCCTTCAGCTCAGCCAGCACCTGCAAGGTAGCGGGTGGGGGTCAGGGAAGTGGAGTGTTAAGATGAGCAAACGAGCGAGCGGCGCGAGTGCTCATCCCTTCAAATCAACTGTTGGTGACGATAGCTGACACAATCACAATCACCATCATGATCATCATGATCATCACATGACCATCACATGATCACCATGATCATCATGATCATCATCAACACGGCACCTGCTGGATGCTGTCTGGAGTGGCGAGGCGGATCATGATGTCGAGCTTCTCCATCTTCACGTACACGGGGTCGTTGTACTTCACAAAGAACACCTGTGGTAGCGGGGCGAAGAACCGTGAGGTGCATGAAGAATTGGCACGCGTGTGGGGTTGAAGGGCAGAGGACACACACACAGACAGTCAGTCACAGACAGTCAGTCAGTCACAGACAGTCACAGACAGTCACAGACAGATAGACACACACACACACACACAGTCACAGACAGACACAGATACACCCCTCAGCACCAACGGCACCTTCATGTGACCGGCGAGGATGTCTGGCTTCTTCTGCACAATGAGGTTGATGTTCCTGAGCGCAACGTATTGCACCTCCGCCTCAGAGCTGAGCAGCGTCACCAGCGGCGGCGCAAGCTTCTTGTACAGGCTCGCCTTCACGTCCGTGTCGCGCAGGTACTCAATGTTCTTCATGAGCACCTTGATGGCGCTGAGCACAACAGCGGCGTTGACGTGCTGCAGGCGTGGGGTGATGCGCTCGCACATGCTCTGCCGCTCCCTGTCGTCCTCCGGGTCGTACAGGGCGAGCGAGTCCAGGATGAAGACTTGGCCCCACTCCGTGCACTCGTTGAGCGCAGTCAGCAGCTTGGACACCGTGCCGGGGTTGAGGTCAAACACGGGGCCAGCTGGGAAAACGGAGGTTGAGGTGGGGGTGGGGAGGGGTGGAAGTTTGGTTGAGTGGAAGAGCAAACATGCGAAAGCGGTCACGAATGTGGCAGTGCACACACACACACACAGACACACACACACACACAGACACACACGCACACACACACACACACACACACACACACACACACACACACACACACACAACAAACATCAAGACCAGTGTGCAGGGAGGGAACGCACTGCGGGAGTATTCGTCGATCTCCGAGAGGGCGGCGACGGCGTTTGCGACGACCATTGCCATTTGGGTCTGACAGCAGGTCTGTCAGCGCGTCAATGAAGCCCTGCACTCGTGTCGCGTGGACACCAAAGCGTGCAAGCGCGCGGAACAAACAAAGATGTAAAGGCGAGAGTGAGCGGGGTTGAGACGAGGGGGGGGGGTTGGAGTGTGTTGGGATTCAAGAAGAGGAAAGGACAGAAGCAGAAGCCCCCACCGAGAGACGAGATCGACAGACAGGCAGACAGGCAGACACATACAAGACACGCAGAGACACAACGCACAAGACAAACACACACAGACACACAGACACACATACACACAGACACAGACACACACGCAAGCACAACCGTGCCCACCTGCTCCATGACGAGTTCTGGGTCGATGTCGTAGAGCTTTGCGACGCAGACGGCGGCGGTCTTGCGCACATACGGGTCGTCATCCTTGAGGGTCTTGCGGAGCGGGTCGCAGAGGTACTGGCGGTGGCGGTGGCGGTGGCGGAAAGATATGGTTTTGGGGGAGGAGAGGGGGAAGGGGAAGGGGATGGTAAGTTGAGGCAGAGCGCGCAGCAGCAATTGCCACATACACACTGACACGGAGACACAGAAGGAGCGCTAAGAAAGGGAGTGACAGTTGTCCGACAGACAGACAGACAGACAGGCAGATAGACAGAGACACACAGACACACACACACAGACACAGACAGACAGACACACACACACACAGATGCAACGCAAACATGGACAGATAAAAACAGACGCACACTCACACACACAGATGTGGAAAGACAAACCTCTGTGATGCGGTCAACGCGGATGCAGCCCATGGTGCGCACGGCGAGGGCACGGATGAGCGGGTTGGGGTCGCTGCAGTCCTTGACAAAGGTGTTGACGGCCATGAGGGCGAGGTCTGGCTGGGTCTTGGCGTAGCTCATGAGGTACAGGTACACGAGCTTCTTCAGCTCAAGGTTGTCTGTCTGCATGCAGTTGACCACATCCGAGAACAGCGAGCTATCGTGGACGAGAGCAAAGGACAATGCATGAAATGGGGAGAGTGAGCACCAACAACAATAACCTGGCAGTTGCAGTGCAGCAAGACAAACAAAACAAACAAGCTCACAAACGAGCAAAACAACAAAACAAACAAAACAGAAGCACAGGCAGTCCATGACCATGGGGCCAGTAGCAACTTGCATGCAAACAGACACGCACAGACACAGACACAGACACGGACACACGGACACACACACACACACACACACATCATTGCTGTTGGGACTGACCTGACGTCTTTGCCAACAGTCATGCTGGCAATGACCTTCTTGACGGCATCACGCTTCTCAGACTTCTTGGCGCTGTTGAGCTGCTGCTTCAACTCAAGCAGCTCGCCTAGCTCAGGCAAAGCGTTGATTGATGCGTGATGCTTTGAGTGAGGCACCTGCGCTAACAAACAAGCAACAGCAAGCAAGCAAACAAGCAGGCAAGACAGTTCACGCAAGCAAGCAAGACGGGCAAAGGCTCACACCCACATCCATGTCCACAACACACACACACACACACAAAACATATACACAAACCCACAACACGCACCTTTCTTGGCGGTAGTAAAGTACTTGGCTTCAGACATGTTGGCTCTGGCTGAACACTCTCACAGAACACAACAATGGTCCACAAGCAAACAACAGAGACAACAACAGAGGCAACAGCAGAGGCAGTCGTGTGTGCGGGGTCGTTCCACCACAGCAAGCAAGCAAGCAAGAGGTTGGTTGTTGGAAGCAGCGAAGAAGAAGAGGAGAGTTGGCAGCAGAGTGGAGGCCGAGAATTTTCACTATTTTTATTTTCGAGGTGGTTGTGGAGGATCCGCTTAAGATTACCCACAACTTTCGACAGACGCAGGACAGTGCGCGCACCAACGCGAATCGACCCAAATCAGTGTTGTGTTCGCGTCGTGTCCGTGTTGTGGTGGCGCATCTTCTTCTGCTTTGCTTTTTTGCCCTTCTTTCATTGGTTGGTTGTGTTGTGTTGTGGGTGGTTGGTCAAAGAGCTTGGGTTGCGCGTGAGCGTGATTCGTTGATTGGGTGAGTCGTTCTTTGGTTTCATATGCGCGTGTCCGCCTTCTTGCTTCCTTGCGTTGTCGGGTCAGTGAACACCATCAAGCACACACACACACACACACACACACACACACACTTGCTTGTGGGTGAGTGCGTGGCATTCCTATGGGTGTTTTTTTCAAAGAGGACAATCGCCACCTCTCTCTTCTTGCTCTTGTTGTTGGTTTTGACTGTCTGCTCGCTGCTCCTGCTCATCACGTCACAATCACACTCACTGGCGTGCTTGCTTGCTTACTCACCTGTTGGCTTGCTCAGGGGCTGAGTGGTAAGCTTTTTGCTCATTCGGATAGGCCACCATCAGAGTAGTCCAGTCGTTCCTTTTCCCACCACCTCAGACCCATCTCCCACGTCGCAGAATTGGTTTCCCTCGCCTGCCACTTACTGCATTGTCCTCGTCCTCATCGCCCTCGTCCTTTGGAGTGCACTCGAACCCCCCCCCCTTCCACACCCGGCGATGGACAACTTGGAGCGGTATCAAAACCTTGTGCGCATCGGCAGAGGCACATATGGCACCGTGTACAAGGCAGACGACATTGGAGCCAATCCGCCTTGCCCTGTCGCCATCAAGATTGTCACGGGTCTCGCCGAATCATTGCCATGGTCAGTCGTTGGTTGGTGGGTTGGTTGGTTGGTTGGTTGGTTGCAGGAATTGGGTTGCTGTTGTGTTGATGGTTTCTGCCGTGCTTGGTTGTGGTGGTTTGTGCATGGCCGAACGATACTTTGTTTGCCATGCTATCGATCATGCTTCAATCCATCCATCACGCGAAGGTATTGGTTCACTCACCTCAACACCCAACACCGCTGCGTGCAGTTTCCTCGTCCGCGAGATATCCATGCTGAAGAGCCTCCAGCACCCCAACATCGTGCAGTACGCCCCTTTGAATTGTGTGCACATATGTGTGTGTGTGTGTTTGTGCATATGTGTGTGTTTGTGTGTGTGCATATGTGTGTTGATGATTTGTCTCCAACATGCACACAGTTTCGGGTGTGTCACTCACATATGCGTGTGTGTGTGTGATGATTGCTGCAGGCTGCGCCATCTCTTCCATGCGAGCGGGTCGTTCTATCTTGTGTTTGAGGCCATGGCAATGGATCTGCACGAGTACATCTCCCGCAATCCCCGCGGCCTCAGTCGCGATCTCGCACAGGTGGTGCACGATTTCCTTTTGTACATGAGTGTGCTGGCTTGTCCAAAACAGCTTGTGTTTTGTCGATTGTGTCCTTTGTCGTTGTGTTGTGTTCCATTTCATTCACACTTTATGCAAGTAAGCTCACAAAGTAAAGAACACGCACACACACACACATAC